TCACTTAATATAAGTTTTTCCAAGTTTTTCATTTCCTAACAAATGGGGCAATGTCATTCTTTCTGATGGAGGCATAGAATTCCATTGTGTATATGTACCACATTTTCTTGATCCATTCATCTACTGAGGGGCATCTGAGTTGGTTCCATATCTTAGCTATAGTAAATAATGCTGCAGTAAACACAGTCGTACTGGTAGCTTTAGTGTGGTCTTGTTTGTGAACATTTGGGTAAATGCCCAAAAGTGGGATTGCTGGGTCATAGGTGAGCTCTATGTGGAGTCTTTTGTAGGCGCTGGGAAGGTGGCTCAGTGGTAGAGCACTTGCCTTGCATGTGTGAGGCCCTGGGTTCGATTCCTCAGCACCACATGAACAAAAAGAAAAAAGCTGGAAGTGGCGCTCTGGCTCAAGTGGTAGAGCGCTAGCCTTGAGCTAAAGAGCTGAGGAACAATGCCCAGGCCCAGAGTTCAGGCCCCACAACCGGACCCCCCCCCCGCAAAAAAAGAAATTGTACAGGTCTCTAGACAGTCAGTCAATCAGGAGGGCAAAGGGAGAATACGCATAGGAGCAGGCCAAAAAGACTCAACAGTTATGTGCATATGATCATATAATAAGTTTTGTGATTTGTTTATACGCTCTCAAAAAGTAGGAGATGAAGAGTCTAGGGCTCACACTGTTGGAAGAGAAATACTGTGCTGTTGTTTACTACTAATGAGGATCTGTATGTCCCAGAGCCCAGAAATGCCATTCCTAGAGTTATCCTAAAAAGCTATGTAATGTTTACTAAATGATATGTGTAAGAAAAATCATGGTCACATTGAAGTCTTGGTGATTGAAATGGCAGTAGCCCAAATCTACAGTGGAATGAACAAATAATATATGAGAATATGACTATTAGAATAGGTGAGGATTCTAAATTCTAGTTAGAAAGAAACATCAAAGGATAATGATTACTCTCTTTATAAAGAATTACAGTGTGGTTATTTGTAAAAAAAAAATCTCATCTTGCTATAAAATAAGAGTTATGGGGACTTTCTTCCGTGTAATATGATATTCACTTGAGTGGTAAGTGGGACAACTCATTTTGCATACTACCTCTCATATGGATTTATTTTTTAAGGATAATAATGTGACTAGGTTCATGAGAATGCTCAGTTCTGTTTTCTCAATTACTAAACAGATTTTACAAACTCCATGTGAAATTGGTCTTCTCTGGCCACATGAGAATAAGCCAGCTGTAGT